TTTCAAACATTTATTGTTATTTCCACACCGAATACTTTACATGTACTTTAAAACTTTTTCAAAATGAATTTTTTTATTAATAATTTTAATTTTTTACGTTGTTTCTTGTTGTTTTTATGCATTTTACCTTTCTCTACAGCCATTTATCCAATTGTTCTTTGGCACGGAATGGGTAATTATAATATTTATTTATTTTTAATTAAATTTTTTGTACTAATTATCAATTAATTAATTACCTGCAAAATTATGAATGAGTTGTTGAAACTTTTTAAATTGTTTAATTTTTAAATTCGTTAAAAATATTTAACGATATTTTGAATAATTAATTTTTCTCAATAGATTTAAGTAATTTTTTTTTTTTTTTTTTTTTTTTTCAGGTGACAGTTGTTGTTCGTCTGGTAGTATGGGATACATTGCTGAATTAATAAAAAAAGTATTTCCAAAAGTAAAAATTCTTTCGCTTAAATTCGGTCACAATGAATTTGATGTAAGTAATTAATATTTTATTGTATTTATAAAAAAATATAACTTATTTAAATTATTGTTAAACTATGGAAAATTTTTTACTTTTACATAAGTAAACTTGTTCTTACATAATGGTTGTTCTAAATGAGGTTTAATGTTTTTTTTTTTTTTTTTAGGAAAAATATAATTCTTATTTTATGAATGTCAATGATCAAGTAAAATTTGCATGCGAACTTCTGAAAAATGATTCGAGAATGAAAAATGGTTATAATGCGATAGGATTTTCTCAAGGAGCACAATTCCTGTAAATTTTTAAAACATGAATTGAAATAAGTGTTTTGATCTTTTTATTTCTGTATAAAATGTATTTAACTTTTTAGGAGAGCAGTTGTTCAGAGATGTCCTGATCCTCCAATGAAAAATTTAATATCAGTCGGTGGACAACATCAGGGAGTTTACGGTTTACCAAAATGTTCCGAATCGTTTAGTTTTTGCAATGATATTAGAAAATTATTAAATACTTTAGCTTACACTGAGTAAAATAATTTTATTAATATTTAATTTTACATTTTAAATCAAATAATGTTAATAATACTAATTAATAATTTTTTTTTTTTGAAGTTATGTTCAAAAAAGTTTAGTTCAAGCTCAATATTGGCATGATCCACTCAATGAAGATCTTTACAGGCATCATTCAACGTTTATAGCCGATATAAATAATGAAAAGGTTTTATTAATGTCATTTAACTACATTATTTAAATCAGAAATTTTCTTTTTTCATGTTTAAATCATTTTTCAGGATTTCATTAATGAAACCTACATAGAAAATTTAAACAAATTAGAAAGATTGATTTTAGTTTTATTCGAAAGAGATAGTTTGGTGACTCCGAAAGAATCATCATGGTTTGGATTTTATTCTCCAGGACAATCACAAAAAGTAATACCATTGGACGAAACAAATCTTTTCAAAAAGGTAATAATAATATTAAATTTAACAATTTTTAAATGATAATTAAGTCAATGTCATATAAGATAAAAAAAACTTTATTTTTAATTATCAGTAAAAACAAAATAATTTTTTCTTTTTCTTTTTCTTTATCAATTTGACCTTTGACAATTAACAATAGAAATATTTTCTCAATTAGAAAAATAATTTTTTCCTTTTAGAATTTGATCGGGTTAAAACAATTAATAGAAGCTGATAAAATACATTTTGAATCTGTCAATGGAGATCATTTACAATTTTCATCGGAATGGTTTATGAATCTTGTAAGGGAATATTTATCGGAAGATAATCCAACATTAAACATATCTAAAAATCATACTTTATTTTCTCGAATAAAATTAAAAAATAATACAAATAAAAATTATGATAATTAATATTTAACAGACTGTATATAAAGTAATTAAAATTACTAAAATTGTTTTTTTCACACACTCAATTATTTATAACTTTATGTATATAATTTACACATTATACACTAACGGAACAGATTCTAAAGTTTTTAAATTAAGTAAAATACAAGTTTGGGTATCGTGGAATGTAGGCAATGATATTAATCTCGTAAAGTGACCTGAAAAAAAAAAAACAAATTTTTATGTTATATTTTCTCGATAAGATCGTTAAAACATTTTAAGTTTTTAAAATAATCAAACTTACCATTTAAATTGATTACTTTGGTAGAATATTTGTCTTGATTTCCAACAAAATACACATGCGGTTGTTCTGTGATTATGAATGGATCTTCATCATAATATGGATAACAAGCTGAAATGTGAAAATTAAATAAAATTGATAAGTTTTTGTAGGAAAGTAAATAATAATCATAAAAAACTTATTTTTACCTTGTGTATCTGGAGCTGAAGGAGCTAAATGCCCCCATTTTAATGTATTTTCTAATATATCAATACTATTGTTGAAATCGCTTAACGATTTTATATCGTCAATAGGTTGACCAGAAGTTCCTAATATTCTTATTCCTTCTATTGTGCATTCATAGGGATTAGTAACACATTGAAAGGAATTATATTTTGAAGCATTTGGAAATAAACATTTGTAAAAAGGTTGTTGAGGCATCAAATAATTTGAAGGATCAAAACCTCCAGGCATGACATCAACATGTACAGTTTTCTGTTTAAAAAAAAAAAAAATTTAATCATACCGTTTGTATGGTGCAATAGTAATGAAACAACAAAGGAAACATTGAAACTAACAGCTAATTCGGATAAAATTTCATCTAATTGTTTAACTGCATTTAATGTATCTAAACTTTCTTTAACTTCTGTGAAAAGTAT